CTTTCATTTCATTTTCTTTTCTTTTCATTTTCCTTTTTTACAATCATTTTGCAAGTAATAGAAGTATTTTATTTAAAAATAGTACCAGAAATATTGATTGCGTTAATTTATTGTTTCGATGTTTGTAATATGAGGATTTGTGAAAAACTAATTTTGGTTATTTTTGCGTGAAGTGAATTTTTGTCTCCTTATTCTACTGTATTTTTATACTACTTCAAGAGATGGTAAATATTAGATGGTTATAAACTAAGATGAGAAATTAAATTAAGAAAGAGACATTGCATTGGAGTAAAAGTCATTGAGAGAAATAAATGAATGATTATTGTTTTATTTACTTAGAAATATGCATGTTTCCAAAATAATCCGTTTTTTTTACTTATAATCTTACATATTCCTGAAATAAAATTTCCTTTATTCACTTGGACATTTCTATGTTTCCTAAATAATCCGTTTTATTTACTTAGCAGTTCTCATGTTCCTAAAATAATTTCTTTCGTTTACTTAGAAATATCCATGTTTCCAAAATAATTCGTTTTTATTTCTTACTTAGCAATTTTCATGTTCTTATAATAATTTCCTTTATTTACATATAAATATCCATGTTTCCTAAATGATCCGTTTTGCTTGCGTGGCAATCTTCATGCTCCTAACATAATTTTCTTTATTTACTTGGAAATTTCCATGTTTCCAAAATAATACATACTTAGAAGTAATAAATGCTGCTAAAGTGATCTTCTAGCCGCTTTTATACTCTTTATTCTTAATATATAAGGAATCTAGATGAATCCTAAATAATTCCCCTTATTTATATAACAATATCCGTGTTTTTAAAATAATAAGAACTATCGAATTCCTACATATTCATTAAAACTCAACATTAAATTCAAGAAGGACTTAAAAAACGAACTGCGCATCCGACAAAGTCACTCTTAAGGCCTGGTTTCTTCTTAGGAAACGTCGGCGTCAGCTTGAAACGAACGTTTACCTCTGATTGGTCAATTTATGAGTTTGACAGCATACGTCATCGAACGCCCATCTTGATCGACAACTGCCGTCCAAATCAACTGCAGTTGGATTACAACGTGACGTTAACAACAGAAGCAATGGCGGACAACAGCCAACAACAGAGCATTGAAATCAGCCAAGATTTTAATTTTAGCATTGAACATAGCTTCTTTTTCTTCTTCATTTAGCTAAGCTATTGTGTGTTTTTTCTTGGACAAAGTCATTATTTGTTCCTTAAAGCACTGGTCAACAATCACAAAATCAATACAAATTCAAAATAAATATTTGTTTACGTTATTAACGCATGCGCAATGAGAGATAATGTCTGTGTTGGACCGACCGCTCACGCTGAGCTAACAAAAAGTTATTTTTNTGTTCCTTAAAGCACTGGTCAACAATCACAAAATCAATACAAATTCAAAATAAATATTTGTTTACGTTATTAACGCATGCGCAATGAGAGATAATGTCTGTGTTGGACCGACCGCTCAAGCTGAGCTAACAAAAAGGTATTTTTATGGCGTCAAAATTATATCAACTTAAAGCTGACGCCCAGTTAAGACGCTTCTCTTAAGATACCAGGCCTTGAGCCAACAAACTAGTATTTTGTTGGCGTCAGGGTAACGTCAACTTAACGCTGACGCCCAGATAAGGCGCTTGTCCTAAGAAACCAGACCTTTCTTTACAATTGAAATGGTTTTTAGTGAGAGCTTGTATTATAAAATTGTTCTTCTGTTAGGGGAAGAAAAAAAAACATACGTATTTTAAATTTTGTGGAAAACTGCAAGGCAGCTAATTTTAACATTATTATAAGGAAGTGTCATAATAATTGTTGGAGAACGATTTCAGTAAGTAATGAGAACGTTACGAACTTTAAATATAGTTGGCAAACCGTAATGAATGAAATTAGCAATATGTTCAAGATCGTTTGTTTTTGGTGAATACCTATGTACTGGTTCGCTGAACTTGTTCTGGACGCACCGGTGAATACGAAGGAAAACTTTGTTCGGAACACGAAAGGCATTTCCGAATAGAATTCAAAAACACTGGATAAGTTGCACGAAACCACTAGAAACGAACCTTAAAACATACACTTCAGCAAACAGCAAAATATAGGGTGAGACATGTTTAGATATATTTACGGTACGTTGGAGGACATTTCTGATATTTAATGTGATATAATTATTCTCTCATGTTTATTGTATCGATCATGCGAAACCCTTGAACACGCGTGTTGCCATATGTTTTTTAGTTATAAGTTCACAAAATGGTAAATGTTTAAAACCATCCGACAGTGTTAGTCATTTTGTAATGACTTCATTCTTACATGACTCAAATATCAAAATCCTTTTCGGCTGAAGAAAGTATCTCGGATGGGGAATTCAACAAACACGCATTTGTGTTTTGTCAGGGAACTGCAATTTGACAGAATGACAAAACTTTTACCATTTTCATTACATATTGGATTATAAATACAACAATGAAGTCAGTGTAAGTTAACACTAGTGGAACAGCAATTCGTTGGTCCACTTACACAAAGGATCAACTTATAAAGGGAAATTTTATTATCTTTACCAATTTTGTACTTGATCATTAAAATCAGCTTAAACAACTAAGTTGCTAAGTTGACCATCTATGTATTTTATAAATTGAACAACGTACACAGGTAACGAGACAAATACAGTAAAGCCGGTGTAAGTTGACCACTAGTGAGACAGGAATTCGATGGTCCACTTAGACAAATGGTCAACTTATAAAGGGAAATTTAACTGTTTTTGCCAATTTGGTACTTGATCATTCAAATAAGCTTAAACAACTAAGCTGTTTAGTTGACGATCTCTGTGTTTTAACAACTAAACAACATATAGAGGTGGTCAACTTAGCGGCTTTAACTATCGTAAACTTTTCTTTATTCTAAACGATCATGTTTGTACGCTCTCGGTCTGTATCGGTGCAATTTCTCTGGAACCTCATAAAGGTGTCAAATTGAACCATATTTCCATTCCAGGGATTTTATGATATCAGTTAATTAAGGTCAAGAAGCTCAATAATAAGGTCAAACTCGGCATAATATTAAGGTTTCAGTGAATTTAAGCAAGATTATGGTTTCACAAGTTCCAAAATGTGTAGCACTGTGAGCGATACTTTTGAATACACTTGCGATTTAAGTTGCTAACAAAATGACAAACATTAATCAGAAGAAATGGAAATATCCCTGAAATCTTAATAATTTTGCAACAACTACATTGATTAATTATGTATAAGAATCGAATATTTATCTCAGGAAAAGAAAAAATATTTCATAAAATAACATCTTAACAAGCAAAACTGTTGAGCACGATTCTTTTGGGAATTATAAGAACAAAATAACAAGTCTTTCAATATATCATCTAGATCAGTATTTTGCAACTCGATTTACTCGAAGGACCGGAAAAAATAAATCAGTGTTTTATAGCGGGTCGGTAAGATTATTTTAAAATAGCGGCATAATTTTTACTTATTTAAAATTGTGGCACTTGACAATTTTTTGATCAGTCTGTTTCTCATCGTTCTCATACTCTTCATATTGAAAAATAAACCTATTGAAATATTAACAAGATTTCTATTAATTCTAATACAAATATTATTCCTTGGATCATCACCAGCCCCTGGTCAGCTAGTTTAGAAACAATGATCTCCATAAGAATTTGAAACAAAAGTAATTCAAACAAAATGGAAAACTTTTGTTTTTAAAAATAGTATTTAAAGTAAGGAAAGCTAACATGATCCAAAATTTGTAACAGCTTGTACTTTGTTTGACAAAATACTTAAAAATTTAAATAAAAATAAATAAAAATGCTGCTGTCAAATCAATTTCAGATTCCAAAGTACAAGGATTAGCTGCGTTTTTGCATCCGTAATTTTACTAAAAATATTTTAATGCAAAAATATTTATATATTTATTACATTGGTATCACGATTTAAAATTTGAAGATGTAATTTTTTTAAATGCGTATTTTTCTGCTATAAAAAAAAGTCTTGATTATTGTAAAAAAGATATCAAAGCGAATTTTTGTGATAACAACTGAGTGGTCTATAGTAGTCAACATCTTTTTCCATTATTTCATAGTTAACTAATTTTTACTTGAAAATCCCATCAGGTATTTAAAATGCCACTTTTCGGAAATTTTTTAAAATTTTAAAAGCAATGTTAAACATAACAAGCAAACGACGTTGCAGGATAAAGAATTTTATTTCGAAATAATATTGAAAATAGCATCATCAGAATTATTGATGATAAACCATTTAGATGAACGTATCCATACTCCTTTTCTGAAACTGACACATACCTATTAATAGTACATTTCATTGCTTGTCTTAACTTGTATTTTACTCTGTGTTAATTTACCGAATTTCTTTTTCTCTTCTCTTGAAGACTTGTCTTAGCTTGTATTTTACTCTGTGTTGATTTACCGAATTTCTTTTTCTCCTCTCTTGAAGACTTGTCTTAACGTGCATTTTACTCTGAGTTGATTTACCGAATTTCTTTTTCTCTTCTCTTGAAGACTTGCCTTAACGTGTATTTTACTCTGTGTTGATTTACCGAATTTCTTTTTCTCCTCTCTTGAAGACTTGTCTTAACGTGTATTTTACTCTGTGTTGATTTACCGAATTTCTTTTTCTCCTCTCTTGAAGACTTGTCTTAACGTGTATTTTACTCTGTGTTGATTTACCGAATTTCTTTTTCTCCTCTCTTGAAGACTTGCCTTAACGTGTATTTTACTCTGTGTTGATTTACAGAATTTCTTTTTCTCTTCTCTTGAAGACTTGTCTTAACGTGTATTTTACTCTGTGTTAATTTACCGATTTTCTTTTTCTCTTCTCTTGAAGACTTGTCTTAACGTGTATTTCACTCTGTGTTAATTTACCGAATTTCTTTTTCTCTTCTCTTGAAGACTTGTCTTAACGTGTATTTTAATATGTGTTAATTTACCGAATTTCTTTTTCTCTTCTAGTGTTCGTGTACCACCCAAAGAAGGCCAAACCAAATCAAACCCCAGCAAAAGACATCGTGAACGTCTAAACGCAGAGTTGGACACCTTGGCTAGTCTACTTCCCTTTGACCAAAACGTCCTGTCTAAGCTAGACAAACTCTCCATTCTCCGATTAAGTGTTAGCTATCTCAGGACTAAAAGCTACTTCCAAGGTAAGAGCCATTTTAGTTTTGATTAAGGTTATGATATTGGCGTTTATACATGTTAGTAAACTTCTTTAACTACTAACTGTGAACCAAAAGTAAAACGTGTGTGTGTCTGAAAGTAAACTTAATCATTCTCTCTTATTTGCCTATAAATCAAATCTGACAGCAAGCCAATCTGCTTCAGAACAAAAATTCATTTATAAGTCAAATCTGTCCGCGTATCTAATCTGTCTATCAGCCAAAAGTCTGTTAGTTCTATCTTTTTTTTTCTTCCTTTAATAAGCCTAAACTGCATGGACCAAAGATAGTTTCTTCTTGAGAAGGTTAAGAAAATGAAGTTTGATACTCGTGCGTAAACTCACCGTTAAGGCGAGATACATTTTAACAGTTAGTTTAGATTGCTTATTCTTCTCAAATACCTGCTCATTAGCAATATAATTATGTGATTTTTTTACTTTTCTATGCATTCTAAATAAGCTTCTTTTACCACTACTTCCCAACGCAAGCTGTGAATTAAAATCATTGTATTGGAAGGCAAACTAAATCTGTCTCTCTTATATGCCTATAAAACAAATCAGCTATTTAACCAATCTGCTAACGAACTAAAATCTACTTCTTACCTAAATCTGTCTTATAGTATGAAATTTGACTGTCATCCAAAACTTTTTTAGTCCTAGTTGTTTTCCTTCGATGTGCCCAAATTGTGAGAACAGGGATAATTTCTCGTTGTGGAAGTTTAAAAAACGAAGATTGATATTTGGTGGACCCGGTAGCAGAATTCGCGGAGTGAATCAGCAGTACTGTCTTTATTAATCCATATTTGTCGGCGACTCAACGTAGTAAGATAGATTACCATTGTAAGAGACAGAGATTATTATAGTAAAAAATTGGTTTAATCTATCATACATATTGCAAAATTTACAAATACAAGGTCCTTAAAAAAATTATACATGAAAACTTTATGTTGTTGAAATTTAAATTGAATTTTATACAGTAACACTAATATAATAGAACTAAAACAGTCATGCCTGTAATCAATTTTTTTTCTTTACTTTTTCCCGTTCTTCTTTCAATTCAACCATTTAATTTTTCTCAGAAACAAGTTTAAAAAAAGTTTTAAAAAGCTATTTTCCTTCAAAGTTTGTTTACTTTTTAAATAAAAAAAACTAAAGTGAAATGTAATCAGAAGATGCTGTAATAATCTGTGCTAAAGGGGTTCTGCTTCCGGTCTTGTTTGCAAACTCACTGTAGCAGTTCGTTTATATTGTCCATTTTTCTCGAATATCTATACATTGACAGTAAAATTTTAAGAATTTTTTTTTATCGTTTTTTAACTGATTGAAGTCAAAGTATTTGTTCACGCTTATCTTAGATTCCAGTACGCTTCCATTTCTAGTTTTAACATCCGATTGTGGCGTTTAAATGTGAAAAATGGTTTACTTCATCTCATGAGGGAATGAAGGATTTATTGGACAAATCTGAAAACTTTACACCGGCTTAGCAATTCTCACAGACATGGTCCGCCAAGCGATCGATAAAATGTGTTATTATAAACCCATGTTGGAACAGGAGATTCCCCTCAATTCCCGGGAGATTCTCACCCTTCTCTGAATCGAATCATGGGAAAAGAGGGTGGGTTAATAATCGACACCCCCAAGAATATTTTATGCGGGTGGAAGGAAGGAAAATTAGGGATTGGTTGGTGGATGCAGAGTGCGAATGAAAAAAAAAAGTGGAAATCTGATTGATTATTATTGGCAAAAGAAAGCACATACATAGATTATAAGACATGAGATGCATATTGAAAGAGACGAATGCATGAGATCTAAATTACATTTATGCTGAATCGGTTCATTAAATTAATTTGTGAATCCATAAATTCACAAATTAGTGTTCATTACATTCCCAGAATACCTGTAGCATTAAACTCATTCACATAGCTCTATAAGCTATGATAATTTTTCTAAATTTCAAAATTGGAGATAAACTACAATATCAATACGGCACAGTTAATATATTAATAATAATGCGAATTAATAATAATGTGGAAATCTGATTGATTATTATTAGCAAAAGTAAGCACATACATAGATTATAAGACATGAGATGTATATTAAAAGAGATGAATGCATAAAATCTAAATTGCACTTATGCGGGATCGGTTCATTAAATTAATTTGTGAATTCATAAATTCACAAATTAGTGTTCGTTATATTCACAGAATACCTGTAGCACTTAACTCATTCACATAGTTACGATAATTGATCTAATTTTCAAAATTGGAGATAAACTATAATATCAATACGGCACAATTAATCTTTTGGAAAGCTTAGTTTTAGTATGCTTAGTCTTTGTACCATGTGTGTACAATGAAATCCTTTCCAAGACATGAATTTTCTTTGATAAGAACATCAATTGAGAAGAAATTTCTACTTAATAAATTGCTTATTTATATAATACATTAAACAGTTATTTCAAATTAGTTTCTAAATTATACAACCCGTAATTTTTAATCTAAAGTAATGTTGTTCGCTTATAAAGCTCTCCCGTTGCGATAAAATCCATTTGTTTCTTTTTGTTGCAGGTTATATACGATTGATATTAGCAGTACTGATAGCTTATCTAAAAGAAATATAATTAAAAACTTCTTATAAATTTCAGTTCTGATAAAGATTTAAACTAAATTATTTAAAAGTCACAATATTTCGATAAAAAAAAATTTTTTTTTTAAGTACATACTTCACCGAAAAATTGCTATTTAGTCTTATTCTCGTCGCATCCTGGAACATTCGAATTTTGATAGAATAAAAGGCCAAAAATATTTCAAATCACCTGATATTTCTGAAAAAATCAAAAGTTTTAAAAAATGAAATGCAATTAAATGAAGTGAATCAAAGTTACGAAGACATTTCTCCATTATAAATTGTCTGTTTACGTAGCACATTAAAAAGTAGTTGCAAAATAACTTTTAAAGGTAGATAAATAGGAACTTATCCGTAATGTGCCACATTTATAAAAGTCTCTCATAGGCAAAGAAAGCCATTTATCGTTTCTACTGATAACAGGATATGAATATGATAAGATTTGTACTTGCTAAGAATGCTAGTTTAAACTTTATCTTGACTTTGATTTAGCTAAAGGTTAAATCTGAACCGCATTTTTTTCAGCCAATAAGTTATTTTTTAAATCCGCTCATCAAAAATTGCGTCAAAAATCACCAAAAACTTGCAATATGCTCTTATTTTCGCCAAATCCTGGAACATTCGAATTCTGATGGCATGAAGAGCATCTGACACTATTGAGATATATTTTTGCCATTGAGGTGTCAGTTCCTTATAAAAGTGCTCAAAAATAAAATATAATAAATGAACTTAATTGAAGTGAACCATCTCTGTCATATTAAATCATTTTTATAACATCCATTTAAGAAAGATTCCGCTTTTATTTTGATAATAACATGACGAAAAAGTTTTAACAAAGGCATTTCCACATTATAAATTACCTCTTTACTTACATTGAAAAGCTTTTTCAGAATAACTTTTTAATGTGGATAATATGGAGCTTATATTATCCTACGTGTATAAAGGTCTTTCACAGAGATAAAAGCCATTCGCTGATTACAGTATCTGAATTTTGATATTATTTGTACAGAAAGTTCATTTCAAAAGAATGTTAAACTAAACTTTATCTTAACTTTAATTTAGATAAAGGTTAAGTTTTAATCATTTAGCAATAGCATTTTTTCAGGAAATAAGTTATTTTTAAATCCACACATCAAAGATTGCGCCAAAAATCACCGAAAACTTGCAATTTGCTCTTATTCTCGTCAAATCCTGGAACATTCGAATTCCGACAGAATAGAAAGCACCTGATATTCCTTATGATATATTTCTGCCTTTGAGAGATCAGTTCCTTCTAAAAGTGTTCGAAAATAAAATACAATGAACAAAGTTAATTGAAGTGAACCATGTCTGTCAACCGAAATCGCTTTCAAGACATCCATTTAAGAAAGATATGACTTTTCTTTTGACAACAACATGATAAGAACCAAAAGGTACACTGAAGAACATTTAAGTCGGAAAAATCATAACTTGTTTCCGTCGTTATGCAAGGGGGGAAGGAGGGAAATATAGTGGATCTGAGTCCACTGATTAGGGCTTGATCATTGGGCAAGTTGTACGTGATTCTACGTCGCTTTCCTAGTTCTCAGCCGGCACCTGCTCTTTTTTTATTCCATCCGAACATGTCATTACTTGTTTCGAAGAAAAAATTAGAAAAGGTAAATGTCATTTCTTAGTTTTGTTAGATTGTTGGAGCTAATTATATTTTTAGGTTTGGTTCACACACACGGCTCTGTAAAAGGGGGATGTTTTATATTTTTATGTAATGATGCGTTTCGTTAGATATACATTGACAAAATAATTGAACTAATTGAAGAATGTAACGATAAAATAATTAAGAATTAACTACCGAGTATAAAGGTGTGGGAAATCTTTAAGAAAAGAAATNTTTTTTTTTTTTTTTTTTTTTTTTTTTTTTTTTTTTTAATTAAAGAATGAAAATTTATTTGTCTGAATTGCATACGATATGCGTTAAAGTAAAGGGCGAAATTGTCAATTGCCACTAGCCATAAGGCGACTAAATATTACTAGTGGCGATAAAAAAATAAATAAAAAAATCTGTCAGCCAATCATCACCAGATCGACATTTTCGTGTTGAAATTTATTATGGAATGTCGTGAAATTATTACGGAACAATAGTATAAAACGCCGTGGTGGTTCAGGGAATAGAGTGCTTGTCTCCCAATGAGGTGAATCGGCTTCAAATCCCTGTGATGGCTGATGAATACAAGTAAAATAATATAGTCCAATAATAAAAATATTTTAACGCGCATTACGTAAGCACACTTTACGTATTGTTTTTGGTTCAGAGAAAGTAATAAATCTAGACGGGGAAAAGTCGACAACCTGAAACCTCCAAAAAAATGAAAGATATTCTTTTAATAA